CCGGACACGGGGGGGGGGGGGGGGGGGGCGCTAAGAAAGCCAACACTGGTTGCAGGGCCTTGGTAGTAGGGTTATACTTTCCTGGATTAAGAAGAGTGTCAAGAGCAGAGTTCTTCACCTTCACTGGAGTGCAAAGCTGAAAGCTCTGATTTGTTTTGGTTTTTTGTTGGTTTTTTTTTGCCTGGCTTAAACTGGGCAGAGTAGAGTTTAGAAGGCTTCAAGGCACAAGCTTTTATCTTCCCCAGCACCCTGTGCAAAAAGGTTCCATGCTTTAACAGCCTGCCTTAGTCTGTTTTGAACTTGTGACCCACTCATTTCATTTGCATAGCAATTAATGCATAGCCTCCATGTGCTTCTGCTTAGTGCCAGCCCAGCCACACAGTGGCAATTGCGGGGCTGGGAGATTAGAAGTTGTATAAACTCCTTGAGGCTCTAAGCCTTTGTCTTTATTAGGTATTGTTAAGTGCTAAACATCTTTAAGCCACTATTATAAATAAGAGAGAGCAGAATAGTCTTTGAATAGTGGAGATTGCTTCTGTGTGCTTCAAGGCCAGCAGCTTTTGAGTGCACTGTGTTTCTTGCAGTCCTGTAACTTTGCCAAAGAGTCAGGACAAGCAGTGTTGATAGCTGTGATTTAGAAAAGAAAATCATGATTAGGGCTTATCTGCTTTGAAAGAGAAAAAGACTTTATTTGTTTGAGCAGCTTATTTTTAATACCCCCCCCCCCCAAAAAATTTTCAATATAACCAAAAAACATAAAGTTGTGAAAGGCAAGATGTCAGCAGTAAGGCAGAAAATACTGTAAAGTCTATTCAGTGAGCTCTGCATCAGTTTGTATCTTGTACTCTTTGAAGATATCCATGAATAGAAGGATGTAGACAATCATCTAGTAGTTTATTCTAAAGCAGAGCTTTGTGTACTGCTGTATTTTTAAGTTATCTGATATTAACTCCAGAAGTAGATATACTTGAGGGGGAGAGGAGTTGTTAAGAGTTGTTAGTGTGTGGAAGAACTCGATGTAGTAGAAAACTTCTGTTCATAAGTGGGGTTTAAAGAGCAGCACAGACACACTGCCTGCTGATATTCAGCATCTTGACTGATCACAATTTATAGGTTATAGTGAGGTATAAAGCTGCATCTTACTGTAGTTGCATTATAAGTGCTATGGACCAACCCTTTTTTTTGTACCAGACTCAGTAACAAAACTCCTGAGACTTAGCGTTCTGCAGCTGTTCTACTGGTGGTTCTTTCATCGTTCTCATCCATTTTTAATTTCTATTTTTGTGTATGTTTTGTAATGTGCGTAATATGGTAGTACAGTGGGACATATGCATATATTGGAGGTGTGTGCTCAAAAACTTTACTTTTTGCGCCATTGAAAAAGGTTGGAGACCACTGCTCTAGGACAGCTGTAATGAGTCTGGGAACATTCTAAGGCCCTTCAAATGTTTCCATCGTCTTGTAGTAAAAACCCTGCTCTGCTTTTCTGTTCCTCCTGTATGTGGAAGAGAGGGAAGGGGGCGTGGGGAAGGAGGACTGAAGGAAGGAAATGAGAATCAAAGAAATAATTTCTTGTTCAGCTGTTACAGGACTACAACAGAGAAGCAGTGCTTGGGGTGATAAAAGTGTCACTCTTATATAGGAGATCTCTGCAGTGGTTTGGAGGAAATGTAAAGCTTATTGCGTTTTTAATTACTTTTACTATGGTGTGTGTGTTCTAGCAAAGCAGGAAGCCTTGAAAGCTTTAGTCAAGGTTGGAAATAGCAATAATAAAAACTTGTGAGACCATACTATCAAAGTTGAGTTGCCACGAGGAAGTATTTTATTCATCTTTGCAGAAACTGGTCATGTGCAACATATTCTATGCAGTTGTCTGTCCTGTGATAGCACAACATGGATACCCTCCCAGGCCCCCTGTTTTACAGGAATTCAGAACAGGAGGATTGTGCATGTTGATTAGCTTGGAATTTGCTTCTGTTTCTCTCATGACTTAGTTTCTGATCACAAGTACAACTACAGAGTAATTGAGGGGGAAAAAGATTTAAGATACATCTTTAAATTTTTTTTTTTCTTTTTACAACTGAGCTGCTATAATCTTTGCAGTATCAAACTTTAGTTGGGAATGCATGGAAGCAAAAATAATTAAAATGCCACTTTTCTTACATGCGTCTCAGTGATCCTCTAAGTCCTTTATGTCCGATCTCTAATGTCACAAAAGCCCCTTGGCTTAAAGAAGGTCCATATGGTACAGCTGTTCCCAGCTGGGTAGATAGATTGCGCTCTGCAGCCAGTTGAGCCATTTTGAGGGTGTGTGCACACACCCAATGTATCTGGCACATTGGGAAGCACTGGATTTACCGCGTGTGTACAGCAAGACTTTTGTGTGAGGACAGCCCATGCCTCCTGCAGGTGCCCATGGCTATGATGGGGGCCAGGGTTCCCCAGGGAAATGAGAGCCAGGACCGACCTGCAGTAAATTGTCCTGTCAAACCGCATTTTCATCTGAACTTCTTAATATTGACCGATTCCTAAATTGGGTTTTGATTCATTTGCTGTGAGAGGTGAGAAGACAATGGAGGGAGGAGATGGAAAAGAGCACATAGAAACTAAAATAGGCTTTCGTGAAAGCAGTGTTCCAAGTACAAAAACAGAAGGGAAAAAAAAAAGGGGGGGCAAGAACTGTGTTGCCCAGACTGGTCCTAACCAGCAGCAATGTGTCAGGACCCACTGATCTGGACACCGAGATGCTCACCCGTATGGAAGGTGGCCTTGTGGCCAGGTTTTTCTGGGAGGGTCAGGATCATGTGTGCTTCACAACCTAAGTTTTCAACAATGCAGTGTGAGGGTGGGGGGGGGTGAAGCAAGCTGGACAACAAAGTATAATACTCGAATGCCTTTGTTTTCTCTACACATCATGAACTAGGCTCCTGGATGTTTTAGCAGGTATTGGGTCAGGGTCTTGGAGGGACTTGGTGCTTCATGACTGCCTCTGCTGCATCTGAATTTTCTTTTAAGGGCTCATTGTCATTCAAATCAAGAGGGGTTTTTTGACTGCTTGCTTTTGATATTACTACTATGACTTCTTAAGGGTGTGAGGGATGTGGAAAAATGAGCAACTCAAACCAGTCAATTAGCCTCATAGTGTGATAGCCAGGAGTCTTTTTCCTTATGTACTGCTTAATACTGTAACAACAAGTGCTCGTTAGGCAGAATAAAATAGGGACAAGTCTTATTGTTCAATACATTGAATGTTGGGAGGAAGGGAGACTGGTAAATATTTTGATAATGCAAAAGGTTTCCTTTTCTGCTTCTGGTAGAAAAATCCCACTTCCCCA